GATGGAGTAGTTCCTTGTGATGGTACTAACAATCAAAATGTTCAATGTACTATTGGATCAGGAGCTAGTCTCAGTGTTCATATAAATCCTACTAATGGCTTTCTTGGGGCACCTGGTGATGGCCAGTATAAGTGTTGTCTACCCACTAATTGTTCAACTCCTGGTACTAACATCATCACTGCTACTATATTCAGTAAGAGGAGACTATAATCACTTACTGATGTAATAATTTTCATTTGTAGGATTTGTAGAGATAGAATCATTTACTGTTGCTGATCTTCCTTCTGATATGACAGTATATCCTCAGGAATACAAACTGAATTGTACTAAAATTGGATACAATCGTTATGACATTAGTATGAGCATTGGTAGTACTGCACTGGCTAGTTACACTAATTGTTTTGATCCTGATAATAATTGTGGTGGTACTGAATTAAGTGGTCCTGTTGCATACACAGTAAGTTATGCTGTTAATATCACATGGGATAGAATGAATGTCAGTAGTGGATCAATCAGTCAATCAACCACTGGAGATCAAATGTATCAGTGCAGGGTAGCAGATCATCCTGATAGTAATGAAATTAGAATACGTAATGTAACTATAAAAGGTAATGTCAATGAATGCCAATAATTTTGATACCAATAATATTAGTACCAGCAACTGCTCCCTCTTCTCTTACTGAGGTCAACAAGACAGCTACCACTATCACTGTTAGTTGGACTGCACTTGATTCATCTGATGCTGATGGATATGTAGTCAATGTCACTAGTGACACAGACACCGTGCAGACAGTACAGGTGGAGGGAAGTAGTAATAATACAATCACACTGAATGGACTGAGAGGAGGAACAACTTATAGCATCACAGTCAAAGCCTATCAACAATTACTGGGACCTGCTAGTAGTACAATCAGTGTACAGACCTTACTAGGTATTGCTACTGCACCTTTTAATGTACTTGTAACATTGTTGATGTATTTGTAGTTATCAATTCAATCAATTGGACACTAGTCTCATCCATTACACAACTCAATAACACTCAATATCGTATTGATTGTCTCACAACTACTGATATAAATCCTTCAACTGATGTTTACTGGTTAGTGAATGGAGTGATAAAGAGTAACTCAATGTATACATCAATTGATGTCCTGACATACAACAACACACTACTGGTATATCCTGATCCACTGGGAGTGTCAATTAATGTTACCTGTATAGCAATGATTGGAGGAACCAATTACTGTCAATCTGTGATATTACATGGTATGATTATACTTTAATCAATAGTAGATACTTTGTCTCTTTTCTAGCTCCTAGTGGTCCTCCAAATAATGTGAGAGGGTTTATATTGAATGCTACTAGTATCAAAGTGAACTGGACCACTTCATCAGAGACTAATGGATATGTGATTGAGTATACCACTGGAGGTGTAACCAGGGATGTAGTATCTACCATTGAAGAGGAAATTGCACTAACAGATCTCTCACCAATGAGTACCTATACCATCAGTGTGTACTCATATATAGATCTTCCTTCAGTTAATAGTACAGTAACAGTGTTAAGATTTGATGGTACGTGAGTTATTATGATTGAGAGAGTGTAATTGATATCTGTTGTAGTTCCTAGTCCAGTAACTAGTCTCTCAGTACCTAATGTCTCAACCACTGGTATTACAGTGAAGTGGACTATTCCCAGTAGTGACAACTATGTAACATACTACACCATCTCCAGTTATCATCAGTGAATGAGACAGTCTCTGTTGCTCCTCATCAGTCCACTACAACATACAGTTATACATTAATAGGTCTGTACAGTGGTATGAACTATACCATCACAGTGAGAGCTGGTAATGTACTAGGAGGATCTGAATCAAGCAGGAGCACATCAGCACAAACTGAAGCAATGATTTGTATGTTAATAATGTGTTTTCAATATTCAAATTAATTATATTTTGTAGTTCCTAGTGGTTGGCCTTCATCAATTCAAGTATTACAAGTTAATTCTACAGCTAATAGATTCACTTGGAATGAGGTCAATTGTTCTCAGCGTAATGGTCTAATCACAGGCTATACAGTGATTATCAGTAACAGTAGTATCACATACAACCTTACCAGTACTGAGAGATATATCATATTGAATGATCTAGTATTTGGTACTGAGTATAACATCAGTGTAGCTGCTGTCAATTCTGTTGGAAGAGGTCCCTTCAGTGATCCTATTGTAGTAGAGATTGGAATAGGTATGTAATTATTATACTATATCAGTTCTGTGAGAATGTGTGT